CACCTGAATTTCCGTAATGGTCTCTTCCATGGGACTCCTGCTTTCCCTCACTTCCCTACATGCCTTTCCCTGCTTGGCAACCTGGCAGGGGTGGCAGGGTGACTTTCAAAAACATAAACCAGATGGTGTCAATCCCCTGGAAAAACCCTTTGCTGGATTCTCCTTGCTCTTAGAATAAAATCCAGTACTTCACAATTCTCAAGGCTTTGGGGTTGATCTCCCTCACCCGATTTCGTAACACCACCTCACTCTTTTCCTAGGCTCCTATTCCACTGGCTTGTTTTTTTTTTCCTCCAACAAGAGAAATTCCTTTCCATTTTTGAGCCTTGCCTGTGCTGTTCCCTTTGCTTGGAACACCCTTTCCTCAGCACTGGTAATCACTGTGCGATTTTTCTCCTTTAGTCTTTGCTTAAACATCATCTCCTTAAACATGCCCCCACCACTGTGTCACTAGATTTCTAACTCTCCCCCATTTTTACATCACCTCTGTCCTCCATCTAATAGATCTGTCAAAGTGCAATCATACCATCCAGATGATTTCTTCCATAACATTAATCACAATCTGCAATTATCCTATTATTTATTTGCATCTTCATTGACTGCCTTCCTAGTTAGAATGTAAATTTCCCTTAGACAAGATTGTGATTTTTCTTATTTTCACTGATATTTCCAGAATCTCACCCAGAGCTCAGCATGTAGTCAGTGCTCTGTGGATGTGTGCACATATGAGGTTAAAAGTGGAGAACTCATATACACACGTGTACACAGGTAATATACCTGTAATAAGTATTTGTGCAATAATGTTAATGATTCTTTTATCTTTAACTTCACACTTATATGTAATGTGTATGTGGAACACACACATATATAGAATATATGTATAATGTACATATATGTAATGAGTCATTTAAAAATCTTTTTTGAGTGTTTCATTTTTAACCTAACATACGCATATAAATATATACAATTTAGTCTTTAAAAATCTTACATAATATAAAAATAGAAATTGGGCATCTTTTTATAATAGCAGATATAAGCCTACCTTATTCTTAAGGTTGCCTAGTGTTCCTTGGTATGGATGTATCATAATTTATTTAGCTAATGTGTGCTACTATTAAGGTTGGTCCCATTTCAGTGATGAGGAGACAGAGACTGAGGGAGATAAAAAGTTTTCTGCAGGCAGCCGATGTGGGACTTGGGTTGTGAGTCCCAGCAATGGGGTAGGGGAACTGAGGCCTAACCTAGCACTCCCATGGCATGTACATGGGAGGAGACATGCTTGTCAGGGCCATATTTAGTTCCTGTTGCTGTTGCACTGTTTTTTCCTGTGGTTTTCTGTTGGCTAGTCTCTCTCCAATTAACCCATCTCCCAACAAGTCGAGTGAGATGATATATGTCAGTGGTTTCCAAATGTTTGCGCCCATAAAATTAGCCAGAGGTTTTGTTAAAATGCAGATTGCTGGGCCCCACCCCAGAAATTCTCATTTAGCAGGTCTGGGATGGAGGCTGAAATTTTGCATTTCTAACAAGTTGATAGATGCTGATGCTACCACTCCATGGACCATGCTTCAAGTATGTAAAGTGCTCCATATTCTGTAAACTCAGAAGCCCACAAAAAAATCAAGAGAACATGAGCTTTAAACCTATATTGAGCCCCTGCTGAATGCCAGCTATGGCGACAGGCATTACAGGGAAATAAGGAAACACAATGCGGGGCCCCATCCATGAAGACTTGAGAATTTAGTCAGTGAAAACAAAATGTGTAACAAAAACAAGTTTTCAATGCAAGCAAAAGTGATATAAGTCCCAAAGGAATAGTCTTTAATTAGAAATCAGTTCTGGGGAAATAAATACTCTACTTAATGCAGACCATCGGATTTTTAATATCTACTTGTTGAATATTGATTTCGTTGATACCCTCACTTCAGTGTGTGCAGAATTAGCATTCTCCCAGAACTCGTTGACAGCTGGTTTGGAGCTGTGCTTGCCGACCTGTCTCTTAGCTGAGACTGTCTCAGGAGTTGCATCACCAGAAGTGAAGGCTGTCTTAGATCAGGGCCCCTAGAGCAGAGCCTGAGATGAGGATTTTGTGCAAGTGATTTATTTAGGGAATGCTCTCAGAAGACATCTGAAATGGTTTAAGGGAAGCAGGACAGGGTGGAGGCAAGAGAAGAACAAGGATGTGGTTTCAATTGTCACCTCAGCCTGACCACACAGGGACCTGTGGAGCATAAATGGCACCATGAACTGTCCCAACCTTGAGCCAAGGTGGGGGCTGGCCTTTGGGCCTCCAATATTAGTAAGTCACTGACAGGGGGTTGTCCTAGGGGTAACATCATCTCTGGGGTGATGTGGCTCCCATTGGCGTGGGTGCCTTCATGAGGACCTTGTAGGCCAAGGGGCCCCTCCACTGTGTCACTAGATTCCTGATTTTCCCTCATGTTTACCCCAGTTCTTACAGTCTTTGCAAGAACTTGCCTTTCTTGTTTTTCTTTTATTTGGCTAGGATATATTACACACATATTCTAGGCACTATTTGTGTACGGGTGAAATCCTCTCAGGGCTTTAGCCTCTCTGTTCCCAGTCCCACAGCAATGTCACTTGATGACAAATTCTGACCTAGTGGCTACAAGGTAATCTCTGGCACTCTCCCTCTAGGACCATACACCTGTATTTTACCTTTTTGTTTTCTGAAGTCAACTCCCAGTGTGAGTATAATGGACTGCCTCTCGTTTAGCCCTTTCCTTCCCCAACCTACACTGCAACCAGGGGAAATCTCCAGTAAAGAAAATCTGATCACTTCATTCTCACTTAAAATCTTTAAGGATGCTCCATTGCCCTCCAAGTGAAGTCCAAATTCCCCATGTTGGTCTGTAAGATTCACCATGCTCTGATATCTGCCTGTCTCATCTCTCCTCCCTACTTTAGCTTGAGAAAGGCAAAATGTCCACTCCCCGTGGCATTTGAATGTCCATGTTGTAGGTTGTTCTAGAAGGCTGAATAATGGCCATGTCCTGCTCCCTGGAAACTGTTAATGTTACCTCATAAGGAAAATAGGTCTTTGAAGACATAATTGTTAATGATATTGAGATGGAGAGATTATCTTGGATTATCTGGATCCTAAATGCAATCACAATGTCATTATAAGACAGAGACAGAGGGACAGTTGACACTCAGGGTGACATGAAGAGAGAGGCAGAGGTTGTGTTATTGAAAACTTGGCACTTGTCTCCGAGGCTGCATCAGAAGGATAAGAACAAGTGGTTTGGGGAAGAGGAAAGAGAAGTTTTATTACTTTGCTGGCAAAGGAGGAAAAATAGTAGAACTCATCTCAAAATACAAATTTCCTGAACATAAGCAGAAATACAGAGCTTTTAAAGGGAGGGCCCCTCAGTTCTAGGTTATTGTGTTTAACTACTCTAATCATTCCATTTCTGCCAAAGACAAATCCTGTGACCTCTGCCAGCCCACATGGCACCGCCTGTGATGGCTGAGTTATCTTTTTAACGAAGGACTTAACCTACCTCGGGATGCAGGCCAGGCTGCAGTTCCCAAAAAGAGTAGGGGAAGTTTTAAAGAGACAGAAAATATTTTTGCCTTTTTAAAATTTCTCAGGCCATTCCCTGTTACATATTCTCCACTCTCAATTTTACGCTTCCATATCTATGGGAGGAGGGGCGACTAGTGTATTACAGTTGGAACGGTATGGGCACAAGGCAAGACACGCTGGCAGCCACTAGAAGTTGGAAGAGGCAAGAATAGATTCCCCCCTGGAGCCTCCTGAGAAAGCATGGCTCTGTCAACACCTTAATTTCAGACTTCTGGTTTCTAGAACAGTGAGAGGCTACCCAGTTTGTGGTAATTTGTTATAGCAGCCATAGGAAAGTAATATAATTGTGATATTACCTCTTCCTGGAATTATCCAGGGCCTGTACTCTCCCCCACAATACATTCTTGGTCAGGATAAGTCCTATCTCTGCACTGGGCTTCTCCCAGTGCTCCCTCCTCCAGGCAGCCTCCCACTCCTCCTACCACCTCCAGACTCCCCTATGGGTAGACAGCCCTCCTCTGTCTCCCATAATTCCTTGAGCAATCCTCTATCATTGCTTTTACCCCATTCTTCTGTATATGACTCTTCCGAGGTCAATCTCCCTGTTTTTATAAATCTCCAAGGGCTTTATTCATTTTTTTTATCCCTTGGGCTTGGCATAGTGATGGGCAAAAGTGGCTTTTTGGTGAGTATTTATCTCCTGCCATGAAGAGAAGGTGGACGCTGCTGTCCAGTGGCTAAAGGAGGGATTCAGGGACCCACAAGGTTTCTCATCACTGGCCAAAAATCAGCATATATAGGTGGGTGGCAGCTCCCCTGGCCAAGCCAGCCGTGCACAGGTTTTCCAGGCTGGCAAGCCCTTCAGCTCAGCCTGCTCTGGAACATTCCAGGCCCTGAGGCCTGGGGTGCCCCCTGCAGCTTCATGTCTACAGAGCTGGTGTTTATTTTCTGCTCAGCTCTTTTTATATTCTCCTTCTCTCTCGGCTCTTCTTCTCCCGCCTCCCAAACAACAGTGACTCACAACCTCAAAGGCTGCTCCCTTTTCTCATTATTTTTAGGAGCCGCATGATTGCCCTCATTATCGCCTTGGGGCTAGACCAGGAGCTGGCCCACGGTTTTTTTATTTCATAGGGCCAAGCTGCAGACTGCAAATCTAGTGACATTTCAGTAAACTGGGGGTCGTGTTAGTGTTCTAGTAATCTAGCTGCTCTGATGAGGTAGCAGCTGAACAACGGAATTTGAAAATTAGGGATTGAGCTTCAGTCAAAGAGATGATCTTGAGTCTTTTCAATTCTTCCTTTATGAATTAGCTTCTCCGACTCAGAATTCTTGGCCAACATTTGCAGTCAAATCTGACATTCATTCCCTCCTAAAACCTGACAGTTTCCTATTAGCCTCAAATGAAGGAAATGAAGGTAGATAATTGTTTTGGGTTTTGTTTTTTTTTTAACACTAGATAGATCTCAAGGCAGGGGTGGTGATGATATATTTTCTACCCTTTGTGCTATTAAGAAGCTACTGTTATGTTGTAATAATGAAACCTGGGCTATATAGGGAGGGTTTAATAACTTCTTCATAAAGTGGTTAAATTAGTTATCTATTGTTACATAACAAATTATCCCCAAACTTAGCAGCTAAAAACAACAGACATTTATAATCTCACAAAGTTTCTGAGAATCAGGGTTCAGGAGCAGCTAGCTGGGTGGTTCTGGCTCAGGGTCTCTGATGAGGTTGCAGTCAAGCTATTTGTTTGGGCTACAGTCTTCAGAAGGGCCTAGAGGACCTGCTTCCTAGAAGGCATATTCACATGGCTGTTGGCTGGAGGCCTCAGTTCCTCGTCACACAGACCTTGCTATACGGTTGCTTGAGTGCTCGTATGGCATGGCAGCTGGCTTCTCCCAGTGCAAGTGATCCAACAGAAAGAAAGAAGGAAGCCAAAGGCCTTTGATAACCTAGTTTCAGAAGTTACACAGTGTCACTTCTTCCTTATTCTAGTCCACAGAAGTGAGTCACTAAGCCACGCTTAAGGGGAAGAGAATTAGGCTCCACCTTTTGAAGGGAGTGTCAGAGAATTTGTGGACATATTTTAAACACCAGAGTGGCTTTCCTTCAAATAGCACCAGAGAAGGCAAACAAGTCATCGTTACCCTAGTAGATAAAATAACCACCTGGCATTTGAATGTTCTGCTGGGAGACTGCACAAACTATGGAAGTCTTACAACACACTCATTGAAATAGTAAAAAATAATACTTATGAAGATAGGTAAGAAGATCTTCTGTTCTATTAGGTGTGGAAGGGGGAAGAATTTGGAAAATGTAAAGAATACAATTAGCTTTTAGTATTTTCTGTATAATATATGCAAAGTTAACCAGATATCTCATTGTGTTCTTTGATTCAACAATTCAACACCAGATACTACAATGAATGGGAAAAATCCCTGCCTTAAGGATGAGAGATAAAAAGAGAAGAGCTAACTCAGCTAATCTGCCCAAACCCAGCCCAGCCTAGACAGAACCTCAGCTGATCTACAGGTGAGTAAGTGATTCCAGCAAAGACCAACATAACTGCTTAGCTAAGCCTAGCTCAGATCTACTGAACCCTGCAGAAGTGTGAGACATTAATATTTATCATTGTAGGCCTCTGACTGAATGATTACTTGTTATGCAGCAATAGTCACGATACAAGTTTACAGTGTCATGAAAGAGACAAACATAAAGGCAAATTTTGCAAAGCAATGTGATAAATACCAAATTTGAAGATTGTATAGGATGTTCTGAGAAGAGTGAGATTGGAGTGTTTAAATCTGCTTTGGGGTGATCAGGGAAGTTGAAGACTAGTTGGTGCCTGAATGAAGTCCTATGAATGAACAGGCATTTGCCATGGTGGGGAAGAACACATCCTTTTCAGATAACTACAAGTATCTTAGTAATCTAGAGAACAATAGTAATGGATGGGTCCTAACTGTTGGCAACCATTAGATTGTGAATAACTTCGCATTGTGCTAGAGTTTGCATTTCATCTTAAAGGTGGCTATTGAATGACTGAAGAAGCATAACATGATCAGATTGATGGTTTTTTAACCTTGCTCTGGGAGAGGTATAATAGAGGGTAAGGCTACCCAGGCAGGAATTGGAGAGGTGCATCCTCAGTCTGTGCTCTTCCAGATATGGCCATAGGAAAGGAGGGGGCAGAGGAAAGAGATACTCGGAGGTGGTGTAGACAAGACTTGGTGACTGATTTAATGAGGGGGTGGTACCTGGCTTCAGTCCCAAGACAGAGAAGTTTAGAAGGGGGTGGTGGTGAACATTTCCTTGTGGCTCATGATAAGTTTGAAGTGCCTGTGGGTGAGCTGGAAGGAGGTGTTTAGTAGGCAGGCAGAAATGTGGTTTAGGGCTGCAGAAGAGGAGCCTGCGGCAGGCATCTGGTTCAGGGCCTCATCTGCAAGGAGATTGTAGCTGAAGCTATTATAGGCAAGGTTGGGTTTGTATGCTTTGAGAAACAAACCCAATTTAGTATCTTAGGAAAATGCTGACACATAGAAGATGGGCAGAGGAAGAGAAACAGGAGATTGAGAAAGAGCAGCCAGAGAAGACCCAGGGGAAAGTGGTTTTGCAAAAAACAAGGAAGTAGTTTTTAAGTTGGAGGTTAACTATATCAAATGTCCCAGAGAGGCAAGAGTAGCTGAGGATTGAAAGATTGTTTGGTTGTTTTGTTTCCAGAAACTAGGATGAGTTTCATGGTGACCTGAGCAAGGGTTTCATCAAAGGTCAGGAGGGATGAAAGATATATTGCAGAGAGTAAACAAGAAAATGAAGGGTCAAGAAGTAAAAATAACAGTGATTCTCAACTACTGCTCGATAGTAAAACTATCCATTGTCTCTTGGCTTTAGCTCTCACTTTAGCCATGGATGGGTAGACAGTTGAATGCAAGTCCCGCTTGACTTTGAGTAGGCAGTGACTTGCCTCTAGTGTGCACCATGAGTTTTCCTTTCTGTCTCGGGACTTCTCTAATGCCATGGATGTCAATAAGAGCTTGCTCAGCCCAGTACGTAGAAGTATGGAAGTGTGGAGGAATTAATACTGCTAGGAGCAATGCTTCACTCATAGGGATGAGAGTTGATGAATATCTTTTGAGTGGGCCACTTTTTGGGGTGAGATGTGGTGGGCAATTCTGAGAGGCATTCTGTAAACGTCTTGGTGGTCCCATGAAACTGAGCCCCATTGCCCTGAGTGGTGACCTAGACAACTATGCTTATATTGACTTATATTGGCTCATCTTTTTTACTAGATCCCTCACTCCTGCTTCTTGGAATCACCCCCCAAATAAACTACCTGAATCCAAATCCATATCTCAGGCTCTGTTTTAGGAGCATCTAAACTAAAAAGGAGATGTTTTAGACACTACAGATTTAAGATGATTATATAGATATCAATAGATACTGTCTCACTGCTTGCACTCTCTCAACTACAGCTTCTCTGGCTTAGGTGGCCATGTTTTGTGTCATATGACCTAACACTCTATCAGTAGCTCATTGGACCAAAGGTGAGCACATGATTGAGCTCAGCCAATCCACACATGGCTTCTCAGCAACTTATGATGTTGCCTGTTATGAACAGAAGGGAGGAGCTAATATGATTCTTTTTTTGTGGGAATTTGAGTAGCAAATATCTAGAGAATGAGGGAGTAAGCAATGAAATAAGAGGCTGAAAGGTTGAGATGAAAAGGAGGAATGGTGAAAACATGGCTGGTTCCCTTTAGCAAATATTATGAGGGAGCAAAAGCAGTGAGAATATAAAGACAGTCAGACAGAAGTGGAGATACCATGTAGCACATAAGGAAAAAGAAAAGAAGAGTCCTTTATTTTCTATGACTCTCTAATTTCAATTCTCTGTGACTCTACTGTAAGCCCCCTTTTGCCTGAGGTACCTGTAGTGAGACTGTTTTCTGCAGTCACAACAGCCTCAGTACTGTCAGTGTGGCCAGAGGAAGATGCCCATGGAAAGAAAGTAGGTTGGATGCCATCACTCACTCCTCCAAACCTACTCCACCCTTATCCACCCTGTTCTGGGTCCAGGAAGTACCAATGAGTGTGGAATTCATCACTGACTTCTTCCCTTGGCTTCTGCTGGTGTTCGGCACATTGGAGGCATCAGAAAGGGAAGAAATCAGGTGGTGGGTGGGGTGGGAGACTGTGGCATTTATTACCAGCTTTCTCCCTACTATGCTGCCGTGCTTTGGCTCAATCTCTCCACCAAAGGCCACAGCTCTAGCCAGATGGTGTCCTCTCCGTGTAATATAACTACCTTTTCTAGATTGAGGGAAACTGCTCCCTTCCCTTGCCTCTTTGGGCCCAGGGATGGGAAGGGTTCATACTGTTGCTAGTCCCATGGGACTGCACTTTCCTTCTTGGTGTACCTAAACCTGCCCATGCCTTTATAAATAGTCCCTGTTATTAAATTCTCCTTATATTACCCAGTTTCTCTCAGAGCCTGACTGATGTAGGACGGCAGTACAACACAAATGGGAAGGTATATTTTGAAACTGGCAGGATAGGAAATGGAAGTGGTTTGTGCTTGATAATTGCAGACTGTGGTGTTGTACTACTACAGGAAGCATTTTTCACATTGGAATGGAATTGTGTAACTTACATACATGTTGATAACTTCAGTTTTTTTCTTTCAAATACAAAGTAAAGTCATGTTAAGAGAGAGGAAAGGAAAAGGGTAGGGTAGGAAGGGTTCCTTTGTATTTGGAAGGCTCCTATAATTGAAGGGGGCACCAGTCGGAGTTGGGGACTTTGTTGTCATTTTTGTAATTATTTAAAAGTTCATTGTTGTGGTATAACATGTGTGCAGAAAGGTGCACACACACTGGTGAATTTTTACTGACTGAACCCAGCCATGTAACCAACACCTATATCAAGAAGTAGGACATTACCAGCACCCCAGAAGTTTTTCTTGTGTCTTTAGTCACTATCCATTCACCCCCAAGGGTTACCACTATTCTAACTTCTAATACTATGGATTCACTTATTCTATACTATGGATTCACTGTTCTTGAACTTTATATACATGGAATCAAACAATATGTTCTCATTGGTATTTGACTTTTTCCATTCTACACTAAACTAATAAGATTTATGTATGTTGCTTCAGTATGTAGTTGTAGTTTGTTCATTCTCATTACTGCAAATATTCTATGTTTAAACAACCATAATTAATTTCTCCATTCTGTTGTTGATGAGCATGTGGGTAATTTTCAGTTTGGGATATGAACATTCTAGTACATGTCTTTTGAACAAGAGCATACACAATTGACCCTTGAACAACACAGGTTCAAACTACAGGGATCCATTTATACATAGATTGTTTTCAACCAAACAGGGATTGAAAATACAGTTTTTGTGTAATTTGAAACCTGAGTATAAGGAGGGCTGACTTTTGTATATGCAGGGTTGGCCATGGGACTTGAGTACACAAGGATCTTGGTATAAGTGGGGGTCCTGGAACCAATCTCCTGCTGCATATACTGAGGGACAACTTTATTTCTCTTGAGTAGATCATTAGTACTAGAATTTCTGAGTCATAGTGTATGGGTGAGTTCAGCTTTAGTAATAATGCCAAATAATTTTCTAAAGTGGTTATTACCAATTTATATTGCTGCTTGCTGGGCATGAGAGCTTCAGTGGGACCACACATTTTTAATGGCACCAGTCCAGGATTTTCCTTTGTTCCCAAGGACCTCAGGCATAAAGAGGGATCAGGTAGAGCATGGTATTGAGCCAGAGTTTGGGGTTTGTAGTCCGGGAATGATGAGCAGAAAATTGAAGATGCTGACATAAGAGTGGAGAGTGTCATACTCTGAGGCTCTTGATGGAATTGGGAAGATGGATTCATTGAGAGAAAACTTAGAAGAAGGTACTAGAAATTTAGGTGCATTTGAAGGATAAAGGTAGAGAGACATGTAAGAACATAAGAAAGTGGAGATATGAATATTTTGGTCAGAGAATGGCATATGTGGAGTTTAAGATCTCTGAACTTTGGAGAAGTGTTAGGTGAGTTGAATTACTAAAAGTTCTGTTCTAATCCCCAAGGCTGAATGAAGAATGAGCACAAGTGGTTTAAGGAAAAGGAAGGAGAAGTTTATTAATTTGCTGGCAAATGAGGAGGATGGCATACACTTGTCTTAGAGAACCATTGTCTCCCCTTTGGCAGAAATACAGGATTTTTAAAGGGGGTTTCCAGCGTCAGGCTATTGTTATTTAACTTATAGCATCTCTAATGAAGATACGCTCCTGACATCTGTCCAGATGATTCTGTTGAGCCATCTCCTGTGGTTTAAGATACTAGAAAACAATGAACAAAGAACATCTTCCTTCCCTTTGATTACTGGCCTTGGGCAAGAATGCAGGTTTTAATTCCCGAAAAGGGTGAGGGGTTTTAAAGAGACAATACATAAAACATTTTACCTTTTTTAAGGCCTTTCCTTCTATTACACTGAGACCTAAATGAGAGCAGCTCTATGGTGTAGGGGGATGCAATCAAGGTCACTGTGGTGATGGCTGTGAGAATAAAGGAAGAGAGGGGACCACGGAACAGGTTATTTCAGGAAGATGAACTGGATAGAGCCTGGAAGTGTAGCTGCAAACCGAGTCCATAACCAGCCCCTGTCCTCCAATCCTTCATGTGCCATTGTTTAAGTTTCTTTATGTTTCTCTCTCCTTCCTTTTTAACTAATTTTGTCAGTCCCTCCCCCCCATTCTCTCCTGTATCATCAATTCTGCCCTGGAGTTTCTCTAGACAGAACTGCTTGATCCTGTTTTCTTTGTCTTAACCCTTTTCCTTATCTTCTTCCTCATGTTAAATTTTCTGGTACACCCCCTCTGGCTCTTCAGGGTTTGAAACACAAAAACAAAACAAAACCAAAAACACCTTTTCTATGTCATCCAAAACCTTCAATCCACTATCAATATTTAGAACTTTATTTTTCCCATCTTAAGTTTGTCCTATTTGTCTTCCAAATTATTCTAGAACAGTGGTTTTGAAAGATTTCTGTCTTTTCTCTTTCTTTCTTTCTCTTCTTTCTCTCCTTCCTTCCTTCCTTCCTTCCTTCCTTCCTTCCTTCCTTCCTTCCTTCCTTCCTTCCTTCCTTCCTTCCTTCCTTCCTTCCTTCCTTCCTTCCTTCCTTCCTTTTTTTTCATTTTCTTTTTTAGCAGTAGAAGCATTTTCCAACAGTCTCAGTTGAAATCCTATATATGAGACAGGCAAATGTGGTGTGAATGGCGCCCCCTAGGGTTGAGCTGTTTGTAACTTAAACAAACTGGATGCAGTGCTCTGCGCAGGGGCCAGTAGATGGTTCTTACAACTTCAAATTTTCTTGTCTCTGTCTCTTATTTTACCCACAGCAGTGGCAACCAGTTTCATGCAGACTTCAGTCTTCTGGAAGTACAAGCTGACCATGCCCACCTCAGCCCCACCTCTCACTGCTGCCCTGAAGTTTCTCTGGTCCTCAGCCATAGGGCATCCTTGCAAAGAACCCCTTGGCATTCATGCACACAATCCAGAAGAACAGGGAAGTTAACACCCTACCCTGTGACAGTCCTTGACCAGAGGGAGATGCAAGCTGAGTGGTAAAAGACAGATGGTCCTAATATGCATTTCATAGGTTTAGCTATTCCCTGGGATCAAACACCCAGATGCCTCTAGCATTGGCCAACTCCATAATGCATGCATGCATTGGCTTCCCAATGAGTTGTTTTTACTGTTTCACTCTTTCATCTCTCATGCCTCTCCCTGGAATCACACTCTCAGATAAACTGCTTAGACTTATGCCTTTATCTCAAGCTTCGTTTTCTGAGGAACCAGCCTGTAACATCCCCTAACTCAGGAAAAGCACTTCCAATGTGCTCCAAAGCTGCTTCTTCATTGGAAATCACCACTCTGGAATAAAATTATATTGAGATAGTTGGAAGGGATATCTTGACTAAAGAACTGGTAATTATCCTGAGTGCTGAGCAGGCTATTTGCATAAGGTACGTAAATGAAAGTTCTAAGGGTAGAAATTCAAAGTGGGCATTGTTATGTTCTAGTCAATCGGTGTGGAAAACAAAGTGGATTTTTAGCAGAGTGGTATAAAAGCTCTAGCCCCCTGGAGAATCTATTTGGCCTGTTTTGGAGATTTGCCTTTAAAAACAAATGAGAGTACAGATTTAGGTCTCTAGGGCTTTCCATCTCCACAGTCTGAAAGTTTAAAAACACACACCATCAGCACTTGCCTCATCTTTCCTAAACTGGCGGTTGTCACAGTTCCTTTAAAGAAGTAAGACAGCGCCTCAGAAGACAGCAGCCACCTCCCACACCCCCACGCCCCCAGACACCCAGGATATATCTTGTGTATACTTAAGCTGTCTCTGACACACATAATTTCTTTTTCATCCCTGAGTAATCAGTCTTTTTTGTGCCCTTAGTAAAAAGAACACTATATTTTTGTACTGAAAAGACTGGGAGGAAAGGAAAAGTAAAAGAAAACCTCTTCCTCTCCCCCCAAATTTCAGTGTAAATTAGCAACAAATAAAAGATGGGAGGGGGAAGAAAACACAGACATCTCTAGAATAAGGGTATTTTTTGTCAAGTGCTAGTTGAAGGTTCAGTTCTATTTGTATATTTTAAAATGTTTTCTTTCCGATTCTGGGTGCTTAGGGGTTAAGGATGATTAGTGGCTGAAACCCTACTGCTTTGAATAGGAGGGATTAGTTTCCTTATTTCAGGATTAAGGTCAGTCTTATCAACAGGCTGCTACATCCTGTCATCAGCCAGCTCCAGCTCTGCAATCACTCTGCCATGGTTCTAAATCCTCCCTTGGGTTGCTGACCCCCTGAGCCCTGTGATTTTCATTTTGATATTACTAAACGGTAAGAATATTAGGAGGTGCCCACTTTAGGGCCCAATATATGCTCCATATTAGGACAACACACAGAGTTCCCCCTAACTCTTCATTGCCATAAGATTCTAGAGCAGGCATCCTCAAACTACAGCCCGTGGGCCACATGCAGGTGTTTTTGCCCGTTTGTTTTTTTATTTCAAAATAAAATATGTGCAGTGTGCATAGGAATTTGTTCATGTTTTTCTTTTAAACTATAGTCTGGCCCTCCAATGGTCTGAGGGACAGTGAACTGGCCCCGTGTTTAAAAAGTTTGAGGACCCCTGCTCTAGAGACACAGAGGAGGGAAGAATTCCATTTGCCTCTTTGAGGTTTGGTAGGTTGACTGAGAAGACAACCCTTTTATTCACCACTCTCTGTATGCATGCCCTTTGTGATATGACTTTGAAGAATTTCTCAATAAGAAGTGGAATGTGTTTCCCTATCTCTTGGTTCTGGGCTGGTCTTGTGACCTGCTTTGGCCAATAAGATGTGGCAGAGGTGAGGAGCCTAGGCCACAGGAGGACTTGTGAGCTTCCCATCTCTTTCTTGGACTCCTGACTTTGCCATGAGAATTCCCTGGTTCCCTGCTCAAGAACAAGAGACCATATGGAGAAGAGCTAAGAGGCCTCAGCCAATAGTTGACAATTTACAGAAGCTGAGCTACCCTGGGGGTGCCTATCATTGACTGTAGTCACACGAGGAGCCCAGCAAAGACCAGAAGAACTGTCATCCCAGCCGAGCCCAAAATGCCAAACTGCAGAGTCAAGAGCTAAATATTTGTTGTTTAAATACATTGTGTTTTGAGGCAGTTTGTTACACAGCAATAGCTAACTGTTAACAGAGGTTCATGGACTCCACCATATTCCTTGGGTCCTTGCCTATTTTCCCTTATTATCATTAATAGTATTGGCAAAAATAATAACAATAGGTAATGTTAGGATAGAACTATGGAGTGTACAACTCATTTGGTCTCATAATAACATCTAGGGAATCATTCCTATGTTTTGGACATGGACTATGGGGAAAGCAACATTAATGCCCTTGACTTTTATAACTTTTGGGTAAAGGTCAGAGAGACTAACTGAGTTTTTTTTTTGTTTTTTTTTTCTTTTGTCCAGTCTTCAGGTATCAATTAACTGAGTTTTAATGATGAAAAATTTAGCACACTAACTGCCACAATTAGAAGCATGGAGATACTTGGACAGTTTATTGGCAGATCTCACAAAGGTGTGAAACATCTCTGACATGAAAATTAATTTATTTAAACCTAAGATGAAGGCCAATGTTGACACTACGTGCACATACTTGTGATGAGTGACTTTTCTAACTAAAAGCAGTGAGGGAGGCCTGCCTCTTTGCCTGATGTGTTGATTCTGTTTCCTTTCACTTTAATTGTCATCTTAGTGGTGTGAAAGATTTATAAGGCATTTTAAAGAACATTAATCCTAGTTGATTTTCTCAACCATCCTATGAAATAGGTGGGGCAAACATCATTATATGCATTTTGCTTATTTATTTGTTTATTTATTTTTGAGACAGGGTCTCACTCTGTTACCATAGGTTGGAGTGCAGTGGTGTCATCATAGCTCACTGCAGTCTTGAACTCCTGGGCTCAAGTGACCTTCTCACTTCAGCCTCCAGAGTAGCTGAGACTACAGGCATGTACTATCATGCCTGGCTAGCTTTTAATTTTTTTTTTTTTATAGAGAGGGGGTCTTGCTATGTTGCCCAGGCTGGTATCAAACTCCTGGCTATAGGTGATCCTTCCACCTTGGCTTCTCAAAGTGCTAGGATTACAGGCATGAACCACCATTTTGCTTATTCATATATACACTAAGGCTCAGGGAAATCTTAAGACTCCTTGTTGAATTCTCTTTCTATAGCACCTCCATGCTGCCCTTTAGTTTATAACTTTGTGGGCAGTAGCACATTGCGTTTTACTATAAACTTTCATTTCTTCAACCTTTGTTCTGGAAACGTATAGTGGTGCATCGGAGCGTAGGCTAAATTTCACAAATTAAGGACAATTGTTGATGTTACTTTGCATACAGCTTCTTGCTCACCAATGAGAAATGCTGGTTTTAGACATAGGCAGTAGGCATTAAGGGCCATTTAATTGGAGAAAGATGGATGTGGAGAATGCTGGGAGGTAGGCAGAAGGCAACCCATTTCCCTACAGGGATGTTTTGGGAGAGACGTTCAGGAGCTGGTGTGAATCTCATGAAGATGCTGTCTTAGGTAGGGCTCCCCAAGAAGCAGACTCTGAGATAAGGATTTGAGGGCAAATAGTTTATTTGAGAAGAGATTCCAGGAAACACAAGTAGAAAGATGGGCAAGAGGGAAGAGAAGGTAGCCAATAAGGCGAGTGATAATTATCAGGCAAGTTATGTGAGCAACTGGAGATTCAGTCAGCTGGGGAGCTCTGGGGGACCACGTAGAACACACACCAGAGTTATCCCAGCCTGGGGCCAAGGAAGCCAGGGTATTCACTCATCCATCCGCAGCTCTTCTTGATTGACAATAGTTTGTCAACCAAGGGGCATTAAAACTTCAGCACTTCCTGCTCTCCCAGTCTCACGGCAGAGAATTGCAGGGTTCTTCACTGCAAACAGGTTTTTTGTGAGTAGAGGTGAGTACTCAGAGGGTGTGGGCAAGGCAGCAGCAGCATCTGCTAGGAGGATTATAGGCCACATTTTCTGATTTCTATGTGGAAAGAGGATCACACACTCAAGGCAGTAAAACCCCTGAACAGAATGATCTTGAAGCTGTGTTATGGCAAGAGGCTAGAGGAGCTGAGGATTGTGTAATGGTGGGTGGTGAACATCACCTGGTGGCACCCTGCCTGGGACTGGTACTCTAGAACAGTCTAATATCTGGGATACATTGATAACTCGTCCAGGAGATAGCTGCAGACACTACAGTTAAATGCCTTGCACTTTTTCCTTAGTTTCACTGTTCCCCGAAGCTCCCTACATTCTAAGAGATAGATTTTGAGTTTCCAAAGCATAAATGGAGAAACTGAGGTACATTACTAACCTGCTTGAAGGTGAATTCGTAAGATGATGATTGTATGAGGACTTACATCTTGGACCATCTCAACCAATCTCAACACTTTCTACTCCAGTAGGAAAATTTGACTTGATCTTCATTCCTGCACACTGTTTATTGCATTCTCTGAACCTGCCTCCTTGCCCACTGGACCAAGAATTTTGCAAGTTTCTTCTGGAATATGTAGGAAATACTTAAAGCCAGTATTGAGTGGCAGCATTGAGTTCATCACTTCCAGCTCCTGCTTCCCAAATCACTCTGGACATTTCATTTTTGTTATTCTACATCTTGAAGAATTCCCTGATTAAACTTCACTTTGTTGGTGAAGTCTTCCCCAATTGTTCTATTTCAAAGTGACACCCTGCTGTGGTTTGAATGTGTCCCCTCCAAAATTCATATGTTGAAACTTAAATCCCAATTGTGGTGGCACTGAGAGGTGGGGTCTTTTGGGGACTGATGAAGTCATGAGGGCTTCACCTTATCAAAGGGCTGGAGGGAACTGGCTAGACCCTTTTATCCTTCCCCCTTTCCCCATGTTGAGACACCGTCCCTTCCAGAAGATGCAGCAATAAGCCACCATCTTTGAAGCAGAGAGAGTAGCTTTCACCAGACACCAAACTGGCTGGTGCCTTGACCATGGAATTTCCTGCTTCCAGAACTGTGAGAAATAAATTTCCATTAATTTATAAATTGCCTGTTCTATGGTATTTGTTATAGGGGCACAAGTGGACTAAGACACACCCTCTCTCCTACCTCTTAATTCTCCCTGTCCTCTTCACTGTTTTCCATTTCTCTGTGACACTTACCGTCTGATATACTTTATATTTTACTTGCTTTTCTATCTCTTCCTCAGCTTGAGTATGTAAGTTCAATTAATGCATGGAATTTTCCCTTCTTTTTTTTGTTTGCTTTTTGTTTCACCTAATGCTGTATTTCTTATGTTCAGAACAGGGCCTTGCATATAATAGAAGCTCAATAAATATTTCTTGAATGAGTGAGTGAATGAAAGGTGGGTCCACCAAGACCTTCTGCTAAAACATCTAGTGCATCTATCCTTGCTGGTCCTTAAGGAGCCAAATGTCTCCTGCAGTTTCCTGGCTGGATGAATTGAGAGAGATGCATTCCTGGAATGTACCTTCTAGGCCTCTCTAATTTTAGAGTCACACATATCTTGTTTAAATGACACCTACATCACTTACTAGCTGAGATAGCTTGTTCAAATAAACTATCAATTTCTTTATCTGCAAAATGGGGCTAATAATGCCAGTTTTGCCAATTTTGCTGAGTTTTTAAGAGATTTTTAATGAGTCAACATAAACAAAGCACTTACAGTGCCCAGCAGGTACTAGATGACCACGAAATATGGATTTTCTTTCCTTTCTCTTCCTTTCTAGTGCAAGAATCAATTTGCTGATGAATGAGTGGCTCAGAGATTAGGGAAAGTTGGTCAAAGCAGAGGTCAGGGGAGGGTGTGAAAGAAAGATCATAGAAACTAGAAATGAGAGTCAGACAAGAGGAAAGGATTCTGTTATCAGGATCTGGGACCACCCTTCACCCTCTAAGTCCTCTGCCTGTGCCACGTATGAGGGAGGTAGAAGTTTCAGCCGCCACCGTGTCCTGGATTGCCCTGATCATCACACTTCTAATGGACTTCCTGAGTTGGCGCACTACCCAGAGCTGACTCATCCCTGGGGAATATGCTCCCTTTAGCCTGAAGGAGCTGACTGCATAAGAGCTGAGGCTGGACAAATTGGATCATCAAAGGAAATGTGCTTCAGAAAGAATCACATGATAGGCCTTAATGCAAAGTGCCTGTATCTTGCTTTTCATGTATCCAGTGTGAAGTTTTAATTACTCAGTCAATGTGGAAACACACTCACTCACCTGGCTGAGAACAGACGGAGTTTGGAACAGAATTTTCAACCATGCCCCTTGGCAGGTCTGACATAGGCAGTGTATTTATTCACTTTTCCTGTCTTCTTGCTTCCTTTCTATTCCCTTAATTTTAAGGAATAAATGTGTTGTTACTGTTGTTCTTTGGAATAACTTCCCTGAGCATTTGGGTACCCACAGAACCTGTTTTCAG